TCAAATCAATCTAAATACAATAAATAAATATAAATTTATCCTTTTTTTTCAAAAAAGTCATTGTTACATCAATATTTATTTATCTAATCTCCAAATTAAAGAAAATTAGCTTATCATTTTTTTAATAAACATATTAATAAATTAATCAAAATTCAAATATATTAAAATATATTTCATTTGAATTTATCTAATTTCTTAGAATAATTTTTTTTCAATATACAAGGATTTATTGATTATTTGATACTTGCAAATCTCATCTTTTTTGCTCTATTTAAAACTCACAAAATATGGGTAAAATCATTTCATCCAATTCGTCATAAAAATGAATACTAACAACATCCATTTCAATCTAAAATAAATCAAAACTAAAAGGTAATCTCTAGATTATACAATGAACGCATACTATCAAATTTAACAACTCAAAAACTTGTACTCATTCTAATCTATGCAATTTTTTTTCCAAATTTTATTATTTAATTAATCTTTTTCAGAAATGTATTCATGAATTTGGACTTGAATTTTTATATTTTGTATCTTTATCAGTTATTGATATTGAAAACACTTCATAATCTTTTAAGTTTTGGTAAAGTAGTAAATGGTAATCAATCAAGCCCACAGACCCAAAGGATCAAAAAGCTTAATAATACAATACAAGAAAAAAACTACAAACAGGCGAAAAGACCCCAAAGATCAATCTCTAGCTAATGCCAAAAGCATAAGAACAATCATTAATGATAATACTAATATGAAAATCTAAATAAAAACAACTAACTGAAATAAAGAATAGAAATTCTCCACATTTTATTATGTGCAAGTCTAATCTCTTTGTACCTAGGACAAGTAACAAATACATGCTGTTTATACTCATTATACCTACTTTCACATAATCTACAAATATATTCTTTCCTATCAATATTAAACTAATGTTCTTCCTCAATTCCAATGTTATGAGATCCACTTCTATGCTTAGCAATAATATGACTTAAGGAACTAGATATTTCTACAAGTAATTATTCTTGTTCATAATAAACAAGCATAAAACTCACATGACGTTGATGAAACTGCATCTTGATGTCTCACTTGCTCGAAGTAATGTTGAAAAATTAATCCTCTAAACTTCACGAGTGTCATAGGTTGCAATTCCCAGTCGAATTCCGCCACATTCCACTTCAAAAATCAAGTTACCACATCCGCTAACCATCCTTGGAACATGTGGCAGATATTTTGTTATATGTTAAGATGTAATTTATCAACAGATTGCTTGAAGCTATTGAAATTTATTTAACACAATCTGAACTTCATCCGATGAGTTTATAATCTTCCAAGACGAAGCCATACCTATATTTAGGAGACATGTATTTATGATATATATGTGTACACTCATATCATTTGCCAATGTTTTGAAGAACAGATATGAATATTTCACATAACTCTTTAAAGAACGTTAGTTTTCCCTTTATGGCCTAATACATTTTAAAAATTTTCATTTTCACAATTTTCATTTGAATCTCCTCCTTAAAAATTCTCAGGGACAAAAGTTGGAGATGAAGTTTTTTCGAATGCACAGTCCTTACATAAATCTAAACTTCTCTAACTCTAGTAGTTCAAAGAGTGTAACAATGACACTATTTTAGGAGGTACTTACTCTTCTCACATATGGTTTTCATTTTTTGAATGCCACAAGCAGTTAATCTGATTTGGACATAAGAAAACATGAATCTCTAAACAAATAAATTTGATGTATATTAGCACACATAGAATTTTCTGCATGTTTTTTTTTTGAAGTTATGATTCAAAGTACAGCAAAATTTTATTTTTCATTCATGACCATTGATTTCTACCATCTCAATTAATATTTATTTCATTGTCAAATGAGAAATTTATTCGATTCATGTCAATGTGTGTACAAGATCTATAAGCATTTGAATCTTTACATAATCAATATCTTTTATTTGATATGGCTATGAAGTCAGATCAAAATTGAATGTATAACACTGAATAAGATATAAAATAATATATTGTAATATATATAACATGAACATGCACAATAAAAAATTTTCATCTCCTTAGAGATCAGAAAATCTCTATGGAGATAAAGTGCAAATAACATAAGTTTGAAATCATAAATTACAGTCATAACAATCAATTGACAAGAGTGAAACCTAGAATAGATAAGATAATCTCAACTCCAAGTAGTTTAACAAATTACAGAATTATTCAATTTGCTGAAACCTAATGCAGTGGATTCCTCCCTGTTTTAAGAATCATTTGTTTTAAAAATTAACAAAATACTACTTGCCTCATAAGCTTTGCTGGCCTGGTAAATTTTAAGGTGAACCAACCGAGGTCTTTAGAACTCGGTTCTAAAGACCGGCTTGTTCCAAGTGTTCTTGCACCTTACTTGCTCTTCACCCTTCCACGATTGGTTTCATCTTTACAGGAATATATGTGGTCCTTCAATCAATTTGTTTTTTTACTTCCTACTTTAGTCGTGTCGATATCCAAAGGTCTTTCACTTAAAATTGGGAAGTTTTTTAAGTATCATGCACATGAGAATGCTTTCGTTTTGAGCACTCAAGCAGCCTCGATATTGTCATCCACCTTATTGAAAGATATGGTGCTTTCAAGGTATGCGTGACGAACTATATGGCAATCAGTAAGTGGCAAGGAAATTTGTTTTAATCCCCAAATTCCCTTCATAACAACACCATGAGAACTCTTCAAAGAACAAGTTTTCTCCATACAGTAAAAGTGAGAAGCCGCCCTTCCTGCCTTCATATCTATTTCTATCTTGGAGCCTGATGCCAAATGATCTTCGAATTGATGGATGTAAACTTTAGACTTGTCGTGATCCAAAGCTCTTTCACTGAAAACTACTATGTCAAATGAGGTTTTTTTGTAATAAATTTTTCAAATACTTCTCTCTTGATAAGTTTTGTGGCCCATTTAGGAAAAAGTGGTATGTTCATGTTCTCCACATATGAAAAATTGTAAGAGATATACTTGTTCTCCATGTTTTCACTTTAATGCTCCCTCTGCTTTGGGCGTGCAAAGATATTGCCTTAAATATGTACTGCACCATATATTCAAGAACAAAGCAAATGTCCTCCTAGGAGAATAATCTCTTCAGACTTGGGAATGTGATCTTTTGCGTCGATCACATTCCCAAACCTTCAAAATGAAGTAAGAAGAGATATAAAGCAAAAAGGATGGGAACATGGATGAAAATAAAGGAGCAGATGGGTCTAGGCCCCAAAAGCATGAGGTACATGTACAAAATTTCTACTTTTGATGCTTATCCAGGACGAGCTTTTGGGTTTAGGGTTTGGGAGACTTCTCCTTCAAGATCATTGATATGATGGATGTTATAACCGCTTGTCCGTTTGATTTTTATAATCTTCTAAATGCCATTGCTTTTCTCTATTTCCTACGACAGAAACTACTATTGTGCAAGTGGGATAAAGAGTACTTCTCTTACAGTATTCCCATCTCTTACGCGGCTGCAAGTAATGCTTGAGAATTTTATAAACATGGATAGGACTGAACGCGGAATATTATTAAGTCGTATGTAAATGAGGTATTTTTCAAGAGAATGAAACGGAAGAACAGATTCTGGTGAGACCAGGAGTGGTATGGAGCGAGCTTCAAAGTTGCTGGGCTATTGAACAACATGGAGACGAGAATGTACATGCAAAATTCTAAATCAGATGCATTTTCTGAGCAAGAAGATGTTACTTTGCTTGACCTGTGGCGGCCTAATTAGCTGACAGTGAGATGTGCTTCCTTCCATGGCTGTACCTGACATCACTCTGTCCGAGCCATAGAAACTCGCAAGTGTACACACTTTTCAAGCCCACCATTAATTTGACAATGGCCTAGACAGATGTGCACAGTGCAGATTTGCAGATTATGCATGAGCCAAGAATTTGCAAGTGTTCGCAGACAGTGAATGGTGGCGGACCGTAAAGTATCATCTGCAGTTAGACTGGACGTACTAAACAAGTTCAGTCTTATTGTATGAGAACTATGAACGTCGTGCACGGAAGCTGCAGGCTGATCTCTGACCACTGTACGAAGCAGAGAGAGATGAAAGCTCGTCCGTTCGCAATGACAAGAATCCAGTCGCTGCCAGAATATACTCACATGATCATTCGTCGATCGTTGCCCAATGAAGGGTCCGCAGAAAGCACGTTCGGTTCCATTCCACGTTCTGGTACAAAACGAAGCAGGAAGATGGAGACTCTCTTTGGAAGTTGCTGTCTGACAATATGGCAGACGCTTAATGTGAACCAGAAAGACGCGGACCCGCTTACCTTCCAGCTCGCCCAAGGCATCTCTGTCATTGGAGATCAATACAAGTACAGTACGTATCTCCACAAGATTTCCAAAGCCGTACGTTGTCATGGGTGCGCAATCCAAGACATGCTCGGTGCAAAATTCTCCAATAGGCTTGACTTTTCTTCCCCACCGTTTCAGAGGCAATTGGATGGAACCTACAGTACATTATTTTCCATAACTCATTGGACACTTTGTAGCAGTCGTCTCCAGCTGAGAAACTACTTGCTTGTTTCTACGTAGCGCGCTTTTCTACTGCAATCTGCCAATTGATTCCAGTTCGAGACTTAGCTTGTAGAGTAGTCATACAGAACCGACAAGACAAGGCCATGAAGCGATGACTGAAAGCTCTGAGTGCGACAACAGATTCGGTGAGTTGAGATTGGAGAACAGCCAGAACATGGCCCGGCTTGCACAACTTTCGAACAAAACGTGGCGAAGCAATCTGAGACATAGGTGGAAGTGCATCTGCTGTGTGGAAAAGGAGGAGACTCCCAGTGCCTGGGGCCAACATGGAATCTCAGGAGTTGTAACTGAGGAGTGGATAACGATCTCGGTGGACAGTAGGTGCCGCTCGGTGGGTGAAGGCGCTCAGTACACCGCGCACACTTGCATCAAGAGGGACTTGTCGCATCTTAAACTGTTCTTAACTTTGAGGCAGAAGAAGTTAGTCAGACCATCACTTCACGTTCTAGCAAATACGCGATACAGCCGTCATCAGCTCCAGCTTTTCCACCATCTACTCATCCCACACCGTCTTTGAGTAAGAAAGACTCGTGCCATCTCAAGTCGTTGTGCAGATCAGTAGATGCTAGTACCTCTGTGCGTTCTGTCAGTACTGTGGGTCTGACCCATCTACTCTACTCAACCGCTTGGCAGATCGTACAAATAATTTTTCATGATTCTTGAACCTGGGCCCCTCTGTATCTGCGTTTGCAACTTCTCGGCCGAGGGGAGGTCGAGAGATTTCGTTCCTTGAGGATCAAGTCAACTTTTCGTCTGCACAGACATGTTCGAGCATTCGAAAGGGTTCGATAGTAGGATATAGTTCTGCAAGCAGCTCACATCGAGAAACCACTCTGACCAGGCCTTATCCAGCTTCCAGGCTCGATGCGTGCACATATTACATTGTCTTTAAGAATTCTGAGCAGCGCTAGCCGCAGTCTTATCTTCTGGGCAAAAATAGCGTGAAAAGCTCCAGTTCTTTTTTTATCTCAAATGGCTGAGCAGACGGCGACTGGCACTGCTGAGAAAGGTGGTGAACGTTTTAGCTATACCGATGGATCGATACATCCACTCAATCGTCCTCAGCCGAAACCGTTGAAGCATGGCCTGAGCTTCTTTCTTCGCGTGCTCACCCTCGGTGCCAGCCTAGCTGCTTTGATTGTGACAGTCACGAACAAACAAGACGTAGTGGAGCCATTTTTTGGCGGCCCATTCGGATTCGAAATTTCAGCCGACTTTAAGTACATGAGTGCTTTTGTGTAAGTAATTTGATTTCTTTGCATGCTTGGAGGCTTCGGTGACTTGCATCTCATGTGCCTTCATGATTCCTTTCCCCCAGTACGCGCACCAGAGGCAATATGACGAGATTGTTTGACAGTCAACGAAAGAGAGTAAGTGTGTATAGGTGAGAGCAATCCATGCCTGGAGAACAGGAGCATCTGCTTCACTGCTCCGTTAAATCTAGAACATGATAATGGTCAGTCCGATGAGACTGTAACCAAAAGAAAAGAGAGTCGGGATGCACCGAGCACTTCATTATTGATGGTTGAAGCTAAGCTGATTACTAACAGTCTGCAAACACGAGATCTTTGCTCGTATCGAGGAGTAGAACTTTTCAAAGAGATGAGTGTGACCTGAAATTCTGGGCTTCTTCAGTCCAAACCTTCATTAAAGTAGGGACAGAGAGAAAGGGACGAACGTGTCCAACACGGTAAGAGAAAAAGCAGGCCTAGGAAAAACAACGACTAGACTCTCCGCGTTACTATGCACACTAATCATCGATTATTTTGAATGCAGCTGGTTCGCTATAGCGACCGCCATCGTTTTTGTTTACTCGCTATTGGCCATAATAGGCGAAGCCTGCAGTCTCTCGAAGAGCACTCATTCAACTTATCTTTTATGGGTAACCTTTCTTTTGGACCTGGTAAGCTGCCGTATCCTTAGACAGCACAAGATTGATCTTTGGAGATCCAAATATTTTGTGGATTTCGAATGTAAATGACAGTGTGGCACCTACAGGCATTGAAGTTCTAGGAAATTAGAATGTCTTGTAACCTAATCCACTGACGGTAGTAGAGAAAAAGCCACATCGATGTCAAATTTGATGAGTCGCTGCTCCATTTTAAGCATGTAGATTGCGTGCACCTGTAGTGAAACTCCGTCGAATGTTGAGATCTGGTCCCTAAAGTCAAAGAATCTACGAAATACTGACCTGAAATTGGGATCAAATGGAGAATTATACCACGCAAACTCACTCAGCTGTGTTCATGCAGACAATGATGAGCATAATGATGTCAGCTTGTGCCGCAGCTCTGACAGTAGATTTGCTTGGACAGAGAGGGAACTCACATGCTCAATGGGGTGCCTTCTGTCATAAGTTCGATAGCTTCTGTAATCATGTTACTGGAGCTTTGGTTGCGGGCGCAGTTGCATTTGCAGGGCTTGCTGAGCTCTGCATCCTAGATGCTTACCATCTCTCTACTCAGTACACACGTTACTAGCTTTTATAGTTTACTCTGATTGGTTCCGAAACTGAGTTCAGTATTTGCATAGTCAGCATTTCGACAACGTTAGGTCTTTTGTAATATAATAGTTTCTCAATTTTGACGACTCTCTGTATCCACTCAAATGTAACACTAGATTCTCCGCATGCACAGATGAAATCTGGTTGCTTCTATTCAGAAATCAGACCAGAATATTATTGCAAGGGACAATTTCATGTCATGCATGAAAGTTTGATTCGCATTGTATAATCTTTTACATAGAGGATCAAGAATAAAGTCTTCGACATTTTGTAGACCCTTGAGATTTACTTTTGAGGAGCTGGCAGTACATTTATCTCCACTGAATATACTTGCAGTATTAAGCTGATTTGGCATATTTCGGTGTCCGTCTCATGCAAGGCTGGATCGGATGCACATATTTCAGGGTGTTTGGTATGTAATCCATCACTTAACATGTTACGGTTAGACCAAAGGTTGAATGTCCATGATCTGGTCACAAGATGAATTATGCAAAACCTCTTTCTGGAAGTACAATTTTGTTAGCGATTTCAGACAAGAAAATATTTGAACCCAATGACCACATGCATCACATATGGGAAGAACCTTAAACTTTTTACTTTTGCCTAGAGTTTCAGTTTTTGATACTACGGCTTGAATTCTCCTCAGTGTTCTTCAGAGAGCACGTGCTCCAGGCTAGCAATTTATTCTTCACTCCGTACTTACATATGAAAGTATGATTCTCCAGTTCCTTCTCGGCTCTCTAAAAGTGATGCTGAGGAGAAGAGGTCGGCGCTCAGCAATATATTATTACTGGGAAGGTGTACTTGTACTTGCTGCTTGGCACGTGGTACTGAAAGTGCAACCACCAATGTATATCACCTACCTCTTCTATATATATATAATTAAAAAAATACAAGTTTATGTTTGTTTTTTATTTTATCCATTTATTTATACATCTTTGCTTATAAAGTATAAGAAATATTATTTTTTCATTCTTGAGGTTTATTTCCTTGTATGAAATATAGAAAATGGGTTCTTGTAGAGGGTACCAACCTGTTCAGGAAGCTATGTTGAGTTCCTCAGTTTAATTAGCTGAAAAGTAAACAAATTTTGGACTCAACGATGAGTAATGTAGTAGTAATTGAAGTTCATACAATATTTCCTGGACCTGAGGAACACAAGTTCATACCTTTGAATTCAAGTCTGTCGACTACCATTTATCTAGAGTCCTCGAGGATAGTTCGGGAGAGACTTGTTTCTTTGGAAATATTGGAAAATAGCTGAAATTGTCTCGGTCTGTATATCATGAGGTATGTTAACCAGTCTATCATTTCCCGTAATTGCTGTATCTGTAGTTTTGGAATAATAAAAACCATTCCGATAATCTCCAATTCTTACTTATAGAAACTGTTATGCGTAAAAGAAATATTTATATTTTAAGAACTTTTATGCATAGATCTTAACTGTGCTTTTTCAACTCGTGACCAACTAGGGATGTTATGCTACCTGCCTACTTAATATGAATCCTTTTTCAGGGATGGTGGTCTTTCTCGAGCTGGTCACGTGTTTGCCCATACCTGCATCTCAGATTAACTAATTCACGTGAATACCTGCATGGACTGTGTTATGTGTCGGGAGACTATCATGGATGATTTACCAGGGCTGGACGTTAGGATATGTTTTCTGGTATCCATACACCTAGTAGAGTCTCGCTTTTGGGAGAATCAGCTTTCTTCGAGTAGTGCAAATAGTTATTTAAACATGAAAACTGTAATGACTTGCCAATAGCTTTCCATACAGAGAAGTGATCCTCATAGAATCAATGAGGAAAAAAAAGAAGTTCTGTGTCAATTTGGGCAAATCGCTCGAACAGATCAATATCATGCGTGAATAGAATATGTAATCCAGTGGCATTTTCTTTCCATACTTCAAGTTGATGACTGCATTTTTGCATTAGGTCATAAAGGTCTATGTTCAGTATCATTACTTCACTTAACTATCAAGATAACTATGTACGGTTGGAATCTTGGTCAGTGAAGCTTCTCTTCATACTGCAAGTCATAGTGGCTCCTACCAAGTCGATGTTGCTCGATTCTGCTCGTCCAGACTCTGCGTGATATCTCGTTGTATGGTTTCTAGTCTCAAACAGATGCAGGATACCTATGTACTCCGGTTGGAGTTTGTAGCTTCATCTTGGCATCCTTCACAATTCTTTCCAGACGCCTCTCCATTATTTGTGATTCCAAAAAAGGATAATATCTGTTGGTTAACATCTGTTTCATATCAACCGCAGATCATATTCACCCCTGTGTTTGAATGTGAGATAGTAACAGTTGTTATCAATTCAGCTTCAAACACATATTATCAAGGCTGTTGTTATCCAGACAAGACGGCCTTTCCTGCAGCCGTGATCGCAACGAGACAATCACAACATTCACGTGTACAGCTGTACATATTCAGACAACGGCTCGAGAGACACTTTAAGCCGAAAGCAGATTGTGCCCTTTCCTACAATAAATCACCATCTTCAATATTTTGGAGTGGAACATGTGGGGAGTTATCTATATTACTTGCAAATGCCTCCAGGATGCTGAGAAATCTATCTGAGCCATACTTAGAGTTCAGAATCAGACCAAAGAAAAGAAAACCATACAAAGCTCCAGAATCCCAGGGATGGGAGTGGTGAGGCTTTCCCTTTTGAAGTGCAAGTTAGGAAGCTCTGTAAGCGACCATCCATTCAGTCAAAGCATGGATGGCCAAAATTTTAACAATTCTGGGCTTTTGAAATGTCCAGTAAAATTACCTCTATATATACCAGAGACTTCCGGACAATGGAGCCCGAACATCTCTATTTTTAATCACCTCGAAGGAGAGATTTAGTTCAACTTTGAAAGCAGGAAACAATTATTTTACGTGTATTAGACTCTGGGAAAAAATTAAGAAAACAGAGCTCGTCCAAATGTATTGATTCAATACGTCTAGGACTTTTCCTGGAATTGAATATTATATCCCACTGTAGAAAACAGTTCCAGATACAAACATAGAGAGCGGAAATGGGGAGCGTCACTATCCTATACCTGATTCGTACTCCTCGTGCACAGATTGGGCATCCAATTAGACGGATCAGATCTAGAATACATCTCCAGCATCTCCAGCTCGATTTCTGCACTAAATTTTAATGCTTATTTCAAATCAGGTAGAAGCCTAGGATACGATTGGACTCGAAAAACCTAAAACACATTACTACTTTCGTACATCTGTGGACAACGAATGTGTCAGATCATTATGTCCTAAAGCTGTTTATACCGACGGGTTCTGTCAAGTTATCCACAAATGGAAGTCATGCATAGCCCAGGTCTATGTAAATCTGACTCGGAAACACATGCCCCATGAGATCTCCAAAGCAATTGTTCGATGGACAGCTGATAATAGATGGATGATTGCATACACAAACGATAGTCCAAGCAATTGTTTCTGAATCTCGAGCAAACGTAACGCTTGCTGCTTTGGGTGAATATCTAAGTTCTGTACTTAGATAGGCGTGCGTACATCCAATCCCAGCTGCTTGTAGATGTTGGACTTGCAGCCTTTGCATCAGAAATAGATTGCATGCACGCAAGGACCTGAGTAATTACTTAGTTATTATATAAAACGAGGCTGATTCAGGTTCTGTCTGACATTCAAAGAGTCAGTTATCTGGATAATAAAATAGGGACTGACAAATTGACATCCGTAAACCCTCCAAGTGAAAATCAAGTGAATTCTCCAAGAAATCACATCAAATCTCAACCTCTCATCTCTGACTTTACAATTACTTCTCTCGGGTTGGGTATATTAGAGAGAGACCATTTCACGAGCATGTGTTACGTAGACGAGCAGACTTCATGATAGCTCAACGAGAGAACCTCTGGTAAGAAACTGGACTAAAGTCGTGTCAATATAAATACCCATATGGATGCCAGTGCTATTTCGAAGCCGACCTAGCCAACATTAAAGGCAAGGGCTAGATGAAGCAAGAACGAGATGCCTACGAAGAAGCGTGGGTTACTTCTGAACCATGCTCTCAATCATTCGTAACTTTATCCTCGTGGGATTTCGTGGCACAATCTGGCTTGTGATATTACAAGGTTAGAAGCGAACACTGATTCTAAAACAATTTTAAGACAAAATGGACACACGCCTGTATTTTTGACCCGCTTCTTCCGGCGACTTGAGAATCAATCAGTCCCGACCCGGACTCTGTATCAGGCCACGACCTAAATTAAACAATCTATGGTTAGTACAAGTCTAGATGCATGAGAAACTGATGAACGGCAAGATGTACCAGGTGGCGTCCTGATGATTTATGCCTTCAAGGCCTGAAGATATAGAAAACATACTTTGGTCATAGTTTGCCGAGGATTAGATAGATTATAGTTATGTTGACACAAAATCTGTAACTTTTGAGTTGCAAGTAGATTTCAGTCTCAGCATATTCGACTTCTAGCATAGTCGAATAGACTCAGACCATCGAAAGTTCTCGAACCAGATCGTCTGCTTTACTTCTATTTCCGGAGTCATCTGGGACCGTTCTCACTTGACAGTGGCATCAGTGCATCGGTATCGCTGCAGCGTGATTCGTACATTGTATAATAGTTAGAGTTTCTCAAACTTAATCCGGAGGTATAAAGAGAAGATTAATCTCCGTTGCGAGAATCTACATCAATATGCAGTAATCTAGAAGAGCGGAGAATACCTGTCGACGTCGTGGACTCTATTTGGACAGTGACATTATGTTGACTTTAGTAAAGGCAATTGCTGGAGATACATATTCCGAATGTACAAGTTACTGTTGTTGCAGATGCATATGGAAACTTCGAGGCTGAATAACTGAGAGCATCTTCTTGCGGGCCTAATGGAAGGAGGGAGGTGCATGATCAGTACATAGGATTTCGTACTGCGAAAACTCCTGTCTGATAGCCAGAGTACAAGGTGCTCTTTTCTATGGAAGAAGCGAGTGAACTCGTCTGCCAAGAACGCAAAGTGTGTTCATGGGAATAAATTTTTGTTGTAGCATAGCCACATAACCACTCGAGGTGAGACTTTGTTACATCGTCCACTGAGTCCCATCATTGACTGTCTAACCTCAAGAAGCCGAAACCTTTGACCCTCAGAACCTGGGTTAATTGTGTCTTAGATCCATATCTTAAGTCCAAAATGGAGGATGCTACATGCTGTGGTTGATGTGGTAGCTGTGCAGATATTTGTAATGCACAAAATCAGCGTACATGGTGTGCTTGACATCTACAACCTGTGACTGATTCCTTAGTTTTTCCTTTTGTACGCGTATCAAGTGGATGAGTGGTCTAAGGGATGCAGAATGTGAAGCAAATGCAATGAAATGATATGCAGCCCAATTTAGTCTGAGGACAGAATCTTTGGAGTTACTAGCAATACTCTAGTATCTCTTGTGACTCTCTTAAACCATCAGAGAATTCATAAATCCGCTTTAGACTAACATGCAGTGCTCCTGTGAAAAGAGAGTGAGCAATATTCGATATCTACTTTTTTGGGGTCTTTCCGTCTCTTTCTGTATTCTACTCGACCCCAACCAAATATTAAGGTTTTTCTGTATACGTATGTTTATAATTCATACAATTCGCTAAAAAGAGAGCATGAACGGAAGTATGGACTGCGGGGAAAAGGTAGACCCTTCCAAACTGATGATACATGAATTAGACGTGAGGACCATTTGATGCAGATTAGTAGATGATGTCGCGATCATGCTAACAATGTTCGTGGGAACAGAGTATTTATTTCTATCAACCGCATGTGAGTCAGACCGCTCTGCTAGACCAATTTGGAAGCTTGCAATTAGCTTCTTTCTGCATCACGAAGTTGTCCTCACGTGCATGGAGTATTACAGAAATCCTCAATGGTGTCATCATTGTTACTTGAGGAACAGTGAAAAGGACTCAACTGCAAAGATTGCAGACCATCGGGCAACTAAATAACGTACCACAGATCAGTTGTTACAGATCCTTTTCAAACTCTCCTTTCCAAAGTATACATGTTATTGGGTGTTCCTAGCGCCTGAGAAGCATTGGTCATGTCGCCACATGATCATAACTGTTCAGTTTTCAGCCCTGTCCTCCCTTTTGTCCTATGCATGATTCAATTTGGAAAGAACATAGATTTATGGAAGAAAACAAGAACTGCAACGAGCCGGGAGGGCAAGGTCGAAATACATAAAGCGATTGTACTGTAACAGAATGAACAGAAAGACACTTTCACGAGTTGTCCCCCAGGTAAAGATATAGGAATGTGATGATCCAAACGCCTTATCTCACGCGCTTTTATAGCTCTTTTCTATAGCCGAAAATTGATGCCCTTCAATATTGGCCTCTTAAACCTTTACATCCGATCCATCCCCCTCATCTGTAAAGGACCTGTGGACTGATGTATACTGTACAGATATTTTTGGATCTCACTCTTAAATGATTTTTCTTTTGAGTAAACACTTTAGCGTCTCTTCCAGTTCTTTTAAATGAGATCTTTCGAATCCTGTAGAGATATGCTGTCACAGTCAGATTCCAGTCAGCCTTCCTACTGGACTACGCAGGGAGAGGCGGTTGTATATACTGTGCTCGGTGTGCGTATGATTTGCGAGCCTTTTCTCATGAGCATCCCAAGTCACCACTGTTCTCCCTTGACGGTACAAGCAGGTCATGGCAAATCCAAAGCTAAGGTGAGGCCTAAGAAACCCCTTGCCGTCCTCTCGTGGATTTGTGGATGCTTCCGCCTTAAGCTTCACCACGACTTGATTAGAGAGGTGATAAGAAGCGAATTCTTGAGGACCACGGAAACCGGAGAACGGTGACGAATCAAGATCTGCATGTCTAAAAGCCTCCACTTGATCCTTCGTCCGATAAATTTGGCTCTGTTCATGAGCAGGAGTGACGACTGTGACGACTGTGACGCTCTACATTTAAACATGGGGAGGGCTTGATTTTCTCCTGTCATGGAGTCCGGAGAGGGAAGTGGAAGACTTTAAGCCTTGGCCACCTTCCAGAGCCCTCCAAGAGGTTTGGAATGATAGTCTGCAAATGTCCCTCTCTTCAGGAGTTATCCCAAGATGTTGGGTGTATGCGGAAGACATGTGACTGCTCCGAGTTTTCAGAGCACATCTTGTGATGCTAGCGAGTCCACGATATTGACCAAACACACAGCCTGGAATTTCGGGAACATCTTGCGATCGGAATTCGAAACAGGAGTCTGTCCTGTCCTCTTGAAGCAGCCTCCTCGTACCTAGACTAGAGCTGAGGTCGTTTTCCGCCTGACCGATAGTGCATCCGTCCATCCAGCCAACCAGGCATCCATCTCCCACTGTGCGGACCCCGTGAGCACCAACTTTCGATTCCTTGATGCCGAAGCGTATTTAGCAAAGAAGGTGCAACAGAGATTCCGAAGCAATCAGTATAGTACTGGAAGAAGATTACGATATGGCGGCTTGCGCTTAATCAACGCACAACAGTATAATATACGTCCTTTGACATAAGAGTAGGACAAGTTTCGAAGACTTTCGCAGCCCCTCCTGTCTGAGGGTTGGAAACTGTACCTCGATGATGTCCGGTCAGGATCAGCATGGAGATTCAATATGCCTCCATTCTTTGGGCCTGTGGGGCCAGGACGTGGCGTTTCAAACACTTTCAAAATAGACCCCACAAGCCATAAGATAATTGAGGGTTGGCAAACGCAGCGCTCGTATCTGAGACTCAGTACAAGTATAAGAGTTCATGTTGTTATTGTCTCAACTCAGTCAGATCCTTTCCCTTCCCACAGAACAAGCTTCTTCTCAGAGTTCGGTCTCCTGACAACAAGGAGCCATTGCTCCCTCATCCAGTCATTATTCGACTACATTCACCCGTGATCCAGCAGTTTTCAGAGAAAGTGAGCAGCATTCAAAGGAGCGTCGTCTGGATTGCCCTTCCATGGCTCTGGTTGTGCATGCCAGTCCGGTTCCCAGTCTGATTTTCTCAAAGCCTGAAGTTTTTCGAGGTCCGACAATAAGTGATCTTTCGGAGAAGCTCAGGAAGATTGGAGTTGAGGAGATTCCACGTTCGCTGGAACTTAGTGAGGATGACCTTCCAGCATTGACTGAGCAGCCCATTGATTGCCAGGTCCCGTTGATTGATTTCTCCTTGCTGCAGACCGACAGACGGAAATTGGCAAAGCAAATCGGGGATGCTGCGAGAACGTGGGGATGTTGCCAGCTTATCAACCACGGCATTCCGGTTGAAAGTATGCAGCACCTCATAGCTGAGAGCCGCAAATACTTTGAGCTTCCCGCTGAGAGAAAACTCAAGGTGAAGTCGTTTGTTGGAGACAATACTTCCTGGAAGCTCTCCAGTTTATACTGGGCTGAGAGCTGGATGATACACGGGACCGGAAGTCGGAAAGATATCGACGAGAAAATTCTTTCTGCGTGGCCCGAAGGCAACACTGCATTCAGGTAAGAATTATTTTCCTTCAACATTGCTGTTCGACATTTGTGACTTTCAAATTTCTCCAATCAGACTGATGATGGGTTTGAGGCGAAGGAAAGTCTAATGTGCTTGTGAGCATTGAATTGGACGTGTGCGTTAACTGAGGTTCATTGTCAATGGTCAAAATGTGGTTCTGAGTACATCACTGCGAAAAATAGTTCTGGCTCTGGGCTTTGACCTGGCCTATACAACACAACCACAAAGAACTGTGACACCTAGTATTGCTACGTAGCTGATGATTTCTTCCGCGTACGGTGTATATGCAGAAATTTGACCGCAGACTACGTCGAAAGGATGCAACCATTCACAAAGCAGATGTTCCAGTTGTATGCAGAAGATCTGGGACTCGAGGATGTAGATTTCTACGCGAAGCACGTAGACTCATCTGAGTTAACGATCAGATGGAATTATTACCCCGCATGCCCACAACCTTCCACAGTACTGGGAGCGAAAAGTCACACAGACGCTAACCTGATTACGTTTCTGCTTCAAGATAGTGTTGGGGGTCTGCAAGTCGAGAAGGATGGTTGCTGGTTTGACGTGAAGCCCATAGAAGGAGCCCTTGTAATCAACATCTCCGACGGATTTCATGTGAGTCATTCTCAGAGCGAGACAGTTTTTCTCCCCCTTGAGTTCTATGAATTGATCTACAGCTACATAGAATCAGGTTCTTTAGCTATCACAGTCGCCATCGCTACCATTGCTTCCGCTGTAAGATGACGGTGTGCATGCCTTGTTCGGACTTTCAAACCAGTGCTTGGATTTGTTAAATGCCAAGAAGTTCCGAATTCGGTCCATCTAGAACGGATTTGGAACACAACTTCCCGACGGAAGCAAAATGTGCTCTGATTTCAGCCCCTATGTGCAGATGCGGACGTTGAAATCTTGCAATTGAACACAGTGATAAGGACACAAGTCGTTCAAGTAAAGTGTTGAAGCCGATGATAAGTCTGCATGGGTCAGGCCAATGCTGTCAGATACTGATTATTTTCGTCGTTCGTTTTTATCTGCAGGCGTGGACGAATGGATTATACAAGCCAGTTCTTCATCGAGCTTTGGTGAACAGGAATTCCCCTCGTCTGTCACTCGCAGGACTGTGGAATGTGGATGACAGCACCCCGTACGTGGCTCCGACCGAACTTGTCGATGAGAATCACCCTCAACTCTACAAGCCCATCAAAGCTGGTGAATACAAACAGAATCTGATAACAACCAGGTCAAAGGTGGACATGAGTGCCAAGCAGAAGGAACATTCTAAAGTCTTGAAAGGGCTCGGCCAGTTGGACAAATGGAAGATCCTCGCTTAATACGACGATCGCTGGCCAGAACCGGGAGATAACCGTCTTGTCATCTCAATTCGGGTCTCACCTAACGTGAACTACACACCGACACAATGTATTATATAGCCGTCAACCTGAAGACTCCAGTAGAGCATGTCGCCCCTGACGTACAAGTTTTAGTGCGGTGGCTACGGATTGGTTAGAATGATACACCCGCAATACGGACGCATATGAGATACTACTTCGTCGACAATCTTGTGGAAGCCTTATGTAGATAATCTGATGGTGTCATGAAAGGATCTGATGCACTTGTAACATTCATATACTTCGCGGACGTTTAGCTTCGTTATGTCGATCTGCATGCGCAGCACAGCCACCGGAAGTTTGTAACATGGTATTATAGTATAAATAATCAATTGTGTATGAATTCACTGTACGCGTATCGCCTTTTTGGATTATGGAATCTGAATCGTATGCATCGTTCTGCGTGCTCGTACTGAGGATTTTAATCAAGCTCATGGCGAATGATCAACATACTAACTACTCTTTAAGCTTGGATTCTGAAAGAATGTTCGTCACGGCATGTACCGTTGCCAAATGCATATGACTCTTTTCTTGGTCTTTGGTCGGAACGGTGTACACTAGCTACGCTGATTTAGATTTTCTGCAGTTTACCAGCTGATCTCGACAATCCATAGAACTGCAAATAAGGTAAACCGGTGGTTAACCAACGCTTACAGGAACAAAACTCAAGAGTAGCGTTCTGTACAGAGGTTGTAACTCACGGAAAGGGTAAGCGACTCGCACGACTGACTTCCTCTCAGAAACGAAGGGTAAGACTTTTGTTTGTTTCAGTAAGCATTTGGCGTGATCGATTTAATTTCACATCCTTTATTACATCCGGACCACATCAGTTTACTTGGTAAAGCCCCAAAGTACAACAGTTAGACCAATTGGCGACGATTAATATCAAAGAATTTGTAAACCATATGCTTGAAATTGTCCTTGTAAGATAGAACATAAATTGGACAAAACATTAATCAAAGTGGCATATATACAAAAGGCTCATTATGCTTTTATGCTAATTCGTAATGATATCATTTACAAAATTCGAAGGGCTCGGGAATTCGAGGATCCTCAAATCAAAAATCACACTCTTTATGAGCTATTTCGTAATATATTGGCGGAGGAATTCCCTAATAATATGGAAAATATAGGAAAAAGATATTCTAGCTTGCGTGGTAACACCGTCAATAGTCAGTTACTGTCTGAGTCTCACGACAGTGGCACTTCGGCCAGCCACTGGTGTTTGACGAGACTCGGACCCTGCTGCTTCCAAGCAGAGCAGGGATGCCAAACATGGGATGTCTCCAGGTAAAATGTGCTCATAAGCATAGACAGGTCCATATCAGAGATCGTACTAGTCATTCCAGTCCTTCCAGTGATATATTCATTCAAATATTTATTCATTTTATTTCTTTATTCAATGATCTATGGAATATGCAGGTTCTTCTGGCAAAGGCCTATGCCATCCAGAGTCGCGTATCACTTCAAAATGCAGACAGAGGGGCTGCACTGCTCGTAGAGAGCGAATAGTCAGATATGGAATCGAACAAACGTACAGAATTACTTTCTGGGAACGAGGTTCGAAACCATCAGGGTGATTGCGGTGTAGATCTACGTTCTGGTTAACGTGTCACGAGACCAACGTGAAGAAAAGACGAAACTTGAAACAACTTTTTAATTCTAAGTAATTAATTTTATATTATATATACATTCAGTTCGTACGACTGTACTTGGTGTGAACAGCAGTCGAATGCTCGCTGGAATCGACCTTGCACCCTGAAGTCCTATAAGAGCTCCTGGGCGGACGGAAAGTCCGTCATCTGAGGCGAAGTGAAGAACCAGATTGGAGTGCTGAAGTGGAGAAGAGTGCAGAAGGCATCAGACGTGCCTTCCTTACACCCAATGTCTATGGAAACAGACGTCAGATTGCAGCTTTAAGGAGGAAATCAAATTCTCCCAGCCTTTCTCGATACTTACAACACGTTACGCACCAGGAAACAGAAAATTCTATTCGAGCAACTCTGTGGTAGAGACGTGGCGATCGTGACAAAATCTCTCGAGGTGTACATCCGTCCTCTGGTAAATCCACGTGTTTCTTGCAGAGCTGGACTGGCCGTACAATAATAATCCCCGCAGGTTCCTTCCACTGTTTCCATGGTCAACTGAAGCCCAGCCGACTCACGTGAAAGAATCGAGAGGCAGCCTGAGTATTAAAACACTGAGCTCAGCTTTGTAGCGCTGTTGTGCAGGTCTGGACCGGTCGAGAAGTCACTCACGAAATCGGAACGGCCCAGCCATGAAACTTTGCTCCCTCGTTCACGAAACCTCCATGAAATTCTTTGTACATATGATAAACCTCCATTAGGACCACCTTTGCGGACTGTGCTGGTTCCCAAAGACTCAAGGGAATGATCAACTGAGGCCAGGGCCTCAGTCTGTCACTCATGAGAACATGACATGTTCTCAATGAAGCCCGATCATCTGAGTTTATCGAGCAGTATGGAATCATCTGCTTATGGACGTGAAATGACGATCAGAAATCAGCGCTAACATTGTGACAAGACTTGTGCTCACATTTTGTCGCGTTCTGGAAGTGCTGCTCCTCGTCCAGTAGGTTCGCATCCAGGACCTAGGTAGCCACTTGACTTCATGCCTTCTGAGTACGAAAGTACCCCTGCGTAAGTCAATCCCCCCGCCGTGCAGTGCAAAGAGAGCAGATTGCAAGACGACACCGTCAAATTATAGCATTTAGAAATTGCTATGAAGAAGATGGAAGGACAATCAGTCTCCATGTGAGCTCTCCACAGCATTTAATGTTCATATGGACAAACTCAAACTGAAGAGTGTTTCCGACCAATGTGGCACTAGCGTCGGTTGTTTGAAATCTAAATTCATCTCATTGACACCACGAAAGTTCACTGTTTTGAGAGCTGCAATAACATTGTGGGTAGTTAACAGCCCCAAGCAATGTATGGGAAAAACTTTGACTTGTGAACTTGTACGAAGATTTTGAGGTCTGCTGGAGCATAAGCAGACCGCATGTAAACGATCACCTGAAGGAAACATAACTATTGCAAATCTGGCATAAGTTTCCAAGTATATATATATATATATACACTAAAACTAATGCAAGATGTAGAAACTCGAACACGAGCATATGTATATGCGTATTTGTGAGGATAGTTTGTGGAAAAAGATTGTAGGTCCGGAAGTATTTTATGCGTTGAAGCACCGAGTGTAAACTTCGTGAATTGCTTATATAATAAAACTTCTGCAAGATTTCAACTAGGTGATTGTTTACATGCATGTGTTATCCTCTCTCTCTCTCTCTCTCTCTCTCTCTCTATATATATATATATATATATACACACACACACGCTTTCTATATATATACACATATAGGACTCCTCCAATATGCTCATGGAAATTTCAGAATCGTTATTGCTGTGTCTAGTATATTAAGAGGTGAAGTAAAGGTGTGGACATTCTGTATGGAGAGGATGTTATTGTTTGGCCCGCACTCATGTACGCTGCTGTCGCTGACTAGTTTCAATCTGTTGAAATAATGTCGAATGCTGTCAATAACTGTACATAGAATCTTGAGGCATCTGAAAGGCTGGTGACATCTGCAGAGATCTTAAGAAAGTTTTGAGATCTCACCTTCGATAACGATCACAATCATTGTCTATTTTTTATTTAGATCAACCGCCATAATTCCCCATGAATCTTATGTCAGAGCTGATTTCTTGGAACAGAGGACATGTCCGTGGAGGTAGGAAGCGCTAGCACAAGTATTGTCCAAGGAATGGGATGACATCATAAAAATTTCATGCAGATCTTCGTTGAGTAGAAAGACACGGAGCAGAGTCCCGGAAGACTGTGGAAACACCTGTGCTCTCTTCCATTACTTTTTCGAGAGAACAGTAAGGCAATCGTGGCCTCGGTCCTCCCTAATCTACCGGCAGCTGAAATTTGGATCATGTCATGTGCGATTGAAGACACAAAAACAGGACCACCTCTTTGTTTATTGTTTCCTGTGCTTGTCGGATTCTCTATAATGTTTCTGTATCAGAAAGGAATCTGGTCATAGATTTCAAAGACCACACTTGTCGGATTCTCTATGATGTTTCTGTATCAGAAACGAATCTGGTCATAGATTTCGTAGACCACACTTACACATCTTACTTTTTCAAACTTCATGGATCAATATAAATTCAAGGCATATTCCCTCATTCCTTGGTATGAGCTAACTAATGGGGTTCAGGAGTGCAATGCTTACATAATGATAAAAAAAAATTTACTAGACCTGTCTAACTATGTGGGTAGTCTCCGAGTACAAATTATATCCTATCCAGTTGAATCAGAACAATTCCACCGTCGATATTAGCGCTTGGAGATAACTATGATCGCATTACAGAAAGTATATTTCTCAATTTTTCCTATCATGGAGCTGTAAGTGATGATTAGCACCGATTTGGTCTTAAGTAACAGTGGAACTTCCTTGATATAATTGTACTATGGTTGCGCTTTCACATTTTGTATTTCATATTTTTTGACAATAAAATGGTCTCTTCAGATGCAGTCTTTCTTAGGGTAAATGGATCCTTGCTCCTTTCAAGTGGCCAAAGGCTTCGGATTGAGCCTGTATCTGTAACAACAGTTGGAAAGTTTTTGTAAAAGTAGTTGTTCTGTAGTCCAGCGTTTTCCTACTACAATATGAACAACTAATGGACCAAAACAGCTGGCTTAAATTGCAAGGCAGTTTTCAGAAAAACATAGTATCCTAAAGAAACAGTACTTTACAATTTATATCCTTCAGGTCATCAAAACGTAGGGAATGTAGGAACCAATATTGTGCATAATAAGATACTCTATTTGCTTCGGAGAATGATAATCAAATTAACTAGTTTAGATAATTTATACACTTGGAGATGAAAATTTCTTTCATTCACCGGCTGGACTTACGGCATCAATAAGTCGAGGTGAGATTGCTCAGGATCTAGAATCTCTGGATCTAGAGTGAACAGAATGTGCCCATCACGTAAACCTAAACACAACACATCATATTCAGCAATTCAAACATCATGTCAAACTTTAAATAAAAAATAACTTGAGCACACACCAAACGGTGCAGTGCTGGCACTCGAGGAGTATTTAGTTTTCTTCATGGAATTACTCAAGAACAATCTTGAATTGTGTTCAGGCTGAATAAACGGTACTTTAGGCTGTCAAATCTTAAGTCTCCGAAGACACAATCACTTTCTAATTCACTCAAATTGTTGGATAGCATGTAATCTATCGGAAGATCAGAGCTAGAGAGAATAACTTTTTCTGCCTATATATATACACAAGCTGC